AATATTCAAAAAATACCCACCCGCCTTTTATTTTGAAATGGGCAGTAATTAAAAATCTTAAAAAATAAAAATACTAATTAACGTTTTTCGGATATTTTTCACGAGCAACTACCGTTTTCGTGTAAAAACATGCTATAAATGATAGAATATAGAGCGATTTCTCGGTAAAACACCAGAAAAATGGCAATATTTGGCTAATTATAAATTAATATTTCGAAAAAAAACTGATTATCATTGTAACTAATTAATTAAATAGTGCATGACCTTCTAATAAGATCGATGAACGTTTGTTCAGGCGTGATCTCCTAATATGAGGTGGCTCTCTATTCTGGAGAATTTAGTCTTATTGATCAATATAAGTATCTATTTTCGTTGTCACAGAGATCAATCAACATTCTATGTATGTATTCATCTATTCGTGTAGATACGAAAAGTACCAAGTATTGCACTAAGTATTCAATCTTTGATTCACATCCCATCCACAGCTGCACTCACACCTACCCACTCCCACCGACACACCCTCATCCACACTCACACTTACACCCACTCAATCCCAAAACAAGTCATACTTAAGAAAAGGGTCTCTCTAGGCATGTCTTTATGAATATAAACTTTGAATATGTCTCTATCACTGATAAAAATTTCAGCTCGTTTGGTCGACATCTGACGGAGATATCTAAATTTCTTATTGGAACGTTATTTATGGGACACTCTATAGAACTACAGTCCATCCAAGGTTTATCATAGTTGATAGGTTGTACCGAGAGCAGTGAGTAATACTCTAGGTTCTCAAAGAAGACCTTAAGTTTACGTTCGAGATCTAGACATTGGTTCATATATTTCGTGCCTATGTGGCCAGCCATCGTGGCTGCCAAGTCGTCCGCAAAGTAGAAGGATGTACATTTTTGCAACAAAATATCCATGTCTGAGTGATATGTGATAAAAATAGATGGGGTAAGGCTAGACCCTTGCGGCTCGCCACGTTCGATCGGAAACCATTTGGATCTGGCACCATCTATTTCCACAAAACCTCTTCTCCCTACTAGCCATGCATAGATCCATTGTACGAACGCCTTAGGAATACCTAAACGACTCAATTTACCAATACATCCTTCAAACCATAATTGGTCGAAGGCTTGTTTGTAATCCACAAATACTGTTACCACTGGAGAGCTGTTCGACATTAAGGACGAAATCTGTTCTATAAGTAACATTACTCTGGTTTGCAACCTAAAGTTGGATCTGAAACCCGACTGTGTGTCGGGAAGAATACCACGTCTGTTTAGGATATCCAAGAATCTGGTGAGAAATAATCTTTCAATTAATTTAAGGAAGATATCCAAAAGTGAAATGGGCCTTGTGTTAGCTACTGAGCACATTGCCTCTTTCTTGGCAAGTAAAATAATACGTACCTCTTTCCAGAGGGAAGGAAAAGTACATGAGGAGAAAGACAAATTGAACAGTTGGACAAATAACATCCAATATTGTGGAGGAAGAAATTTTAACATGAAAGTAGAGAGACCGTGTGCATTACAGGAGAGCTTTTTATCCCGAGAAGCTACAACTTTAATGACTTCCTCGAATGTAACTGGAGGTATAGATTCGTTATCATTATCCAAAACAACCGGCGGAGCATCTACATACGGGTGAGGGCGGACTACAATAGGAGCTGAATACAGCTGTTTATGATGTTCAGCGGCAATGTCAACCATTTTCGTACTCTCACGAACTACTTCCCCTGTGGGAAGAATAAAAGCATGCAATGATGTAGAAGCTGGTTTAAAAAAACGTTTTGTTTTCGACCAGAAAGCTACTGACATTTGTGACGATGAATAGCGCATAGCAAGGCTTTTTCTCAATTGGTTTGAGACAAACTGATTTATCTCCTTCTTAATCTCTCTTTTCCACCTCAAGGCAGATCTTCTCCAGTTCAATATCTCCAGTTCTCCTCGCTCTAAGAGAAAGTGTTCGACAGTAAACAAGAAGAGCGCGAATTGTATTTGGTAGAGCTACCCGATAATTATTGAGCGGAAAATATACCGTACATCTAGCAATTAACAATGATAAAAAAAGAACGTAATCTTTATAAACTTCATCAATACAACCCATATTCCATTGCGCTTGCCAAAAAGGAAAGACGAAAGAGAGGAACGACGAGAAGACCTTCCAGTGAACATTTTTTCCTGTAGCTAGTTCCTTCCTGTTAGATGACAGTATACTAAGAATTGGTTTATGATCACTTGTCGTACCGCCTTCATATGTCTGTATACTTATGGGTACGCCGCTTGTGAGAGCGTAATCAATTGTACGACCAGCATCGGTTCTCAGCGATGTAAAAGAGTCAGGCAGGTAGGGCACTAAGTTACAATTATCGGCCCATTGCAGCAATATTTCACTTCTCTTCCTGTCCTCATTACAGATCCACATTAAAATCGCCCATTAGGACGCATTTTGTGGAGATTATCTGGGTAAGATCTGACCAGCTCCATTTCTTACTCTCTGGAGCATAGATACCAACCACTCTGATTTTTTCTTCTAATTCAATATCCACCGCACAAACATTCGGCAGGTTACAATCATATCTTTTTGTTTTAAGACCTTTCCTGATCATTACTATGACTCCACCAAAACTATTCTCACCTTTTTGGTAGTAGATCGAATTATTCGGGAATAATTTTTTTAGCCATGGAAGTTTGAATGCTCCAGTTTCAACCAATATGATGATATCGAATTTAAAAGTACATGCAAGTAGCTGAACCTCATTCCATCTATGCTTAAGATTACGAACGTTAAAAGATAGACAATGAAGTGAGTTAAAAGAGGAAACCGTATCTGCACGAACAAATTTTTTCCAACCGGAAAAGCATGAAGAAAGAGTACACGAACTTTCCCATTCGGCTAGAATACTCTTAAATAATAAAAAATCAAAGGGCGAGAGATTGTTTTTAGCACAATCTAAGAAAAACGATCTATAAATTACTTTAGCTGATGGGATACAAGAAAAAAAAAGAGTTGCGAGAGGCGATAAATTCATTAAAAATATAGTCTTTTTTCACGATAGGCTTGGAGTTGGTTCTTCCAGACACCACCTCTCGATTCGAAATCCACATTTAAAGCCCTACCCTCTTTGACGTTCATCACCGATAACATTGACATAATATCATCCATAGCAGGGAGAATTAGTTTATCTATAACATTTGTTTGATTAAATAATACACCATCATGACGAGAAATTCCATGTTGTAAAGATCTAATTCCATTGTTGATTTTCAAGTCGAATTTTTGTTTAGCATTTATCCAGTCTTCTATATGTTCAGTACGTTTAACAAGATCACCAATAGTATCATTAATATTGTTAATTGAATTAAGTATCTGGTCCAGTTTGGTCATAATTCCATTTTGTTCACCTACAGGCATCTTATAACCATTAATAGTTGATTTAGTTGGACGTGGTAAAGGAGGAAATTCAGATGTTGAGGTGGGCATATTATTGCACCTATTATTATTGAACGACTTGTTGGAAGACGATAAGAGGATTTTTGTTAAATCCGCTCTATATTGCTTGACCACCTTACATTTCATATCATTTGAATAATGATCACCACCACAATGTAAACATTTAGCAATACCAGAGCAATTATGTTTATTAACATCAGGACAACGTTCACTACAAACTTTACATGTATCATCTGTTTGCTTGCATTGTTTGCGAAAGTGTCCGACACCGAAACATTTTGTACAAATAAGAATAGATACTTGTGGTAAATATTCTTTAACATCATATTTAACATAATTAATGACCATTTGACCATTGAATATAATTTCATCACGTGTTTTAGAAGAGCTAAATTCGACTTTGACAATTTTAGTATCATATTGATCTTTATTTTTTAATCGGATAACTTTAAGCACATTAGCGTAATTGTTTCTTAATTCATTTTCAAAATCATTAAAATCAATTTTATAACTAACATTTGTAATAATTACCGCAAGTTGTGGTGGAATTGATGGTTGTTTATCAATGGTAAATGTTTCATTAAATAATCGATCAGGCCATTTGATGTCCGAATAAAGAAAAGAAAAAGAAGAACTATTTTTAACAAAAATCAAGAGATTACATTCATTAGTATTACATCTAATTGACGACGTTCTATATCCAACTAAATCAAGATCAAAAGAAAAATTTATTTTACTATAATTTATTAAATCTTCAATAGTTGCTTTATCATTAATTTTTCCAGCATTGAATTTAAGAATAAACGGAGGAAAAGGATAACGAGTTGTTGCAAAACGTTGTGCTTCATTTGTAATTGCAGATGTACTATAATTTGTATTTGAATTTGTATTTGGTTGTAAATTAGACAACGATGTATTTGACTGAATATAATTATCACGTGAACGTGATTGATATCAAGCTGGTGAATCATCATAAATTTCCATTGGTGCATCATTACCACTTTGTTTTCTTTTCTTATTTGATCGTTCTGTTGTATCTGTATGTATTGCATAAGAATGACCTTGTGAATCAGGAGAAAGCACTAAATTTAAAATATGACGTACTGTTGGCACACTTGGCATAGAGATAATCGAATTTTAAAATATATACAGCCTATAGAGGTCCTATAGGGACCCCTATAGGACCTCTATAGGCTGTATATACTTTAAAATTCGATTATCTCTAGGCCAAGTGCGCCAGCAGCACGTCATATTTTAAATTTAGTACTTTCTCAATGAGAGCTTTCATTTGATGCCAAAATATCAGGGCTAGCTGAATTACAATACAAACACCTCCATTGCAAGTACTCTAATGTACTTAAATACTTTACTTGAGTACAATTCCGTATAGTACCGCTACTGACTGAAATGTACTCAAATAAAAAGTAATTAAGTAAAGTACAAAGTACATTTTTTAATTATCAAAAGTTTTACTTGTACTCAGGCCCCGCGAAAGTGGGGCGGTGTATACCCCCCCCCGCCCCAATAATTAAAAATTATTCATCCATAGCCAAAAAAATTGATAAATTTTTCTTGAAGTTTTTGCTAGAAAATTCCGAAGAGAAGTTCAAATTTTTCGCTTCGTGATAACGTGACTACGCGAGCGTACTCGGCCTAAGAATACCTGTGATTTTTCTGTTTTTAGAGCAATCTTACTCCGGTCTTATTTTTGAAGAGCTTCATTTTCCGACAGTCGTCACTAGCGTGACCGTCTTTGGCGACGAAAGCGCTAACGAGGGAATATCCCTAGGTGAACCTCCGCTTTCGACGTGATATTTTGCCCATATGTAGGCCTTAGTAAGACTAGAAAAACGTCAAAAGGGTTTGGGTTGCTATGGCTTCCTTGTTGAGATATGAAGTTCACATCTCTAACAGTGCTATGATTTATGTTGGAATAGGATGTAATGTCGATTTTTTCACAACGATATGAAACACAGACTTACAGTTTCTTTTTGCGTGAACTGTATTTCATAGTGGCCATATGTGACACGCTTTTTTAGCTCTAGCAAAGATTTCGAAGGTCAATTCTATTTTTTTCATAAGTTCCTGCATGTGCAGTACAGTCTTATTGAGTATATGCTGAAATCTTTGTGTATCATGAACAAATGTGAACACTAACATAAAGTGAAGGTAAGGAATGCAACCAGAACAACTGAACTTTGACAATATGATGAATTAGTCCATGTGATAGGCAAGGAAAATATGTTCAAAAAATAACTCTTTACGACACTAACTACACTTGAAAAAAGCTGAGTTGTCGCAATTTTCCTCTTTGCAGACCGACTTTTCCAGACTAAAGCAAATATCTTTGACTGCAAAAAACTAGTCAGGATGAGCCATTAAATAGCCGCTCGCATACCAAGCATAAAGAATCAGTATGAGAGAATAAAGTCAATACTGTCCCTTATTAAATTAAGCGCATGATCATACATGACTCGTCTAAAGAAACTAGGCTTCATTTTGGAAGCCCTCTTTCATGCAAGCTAGTGTCAGGCAAGCAAGCTTGATATGTGTGGTTAGGAGTCCTTGTCAGAGCTAAAAAAGTATGTCACATATGGCCACTATAAAATGCAGTTCACACAAAAAAAACTGTAAGTCTATATTTCATATCGTTGTGAAAAAATTGACATTGCATCGTATTCCAATATAAATCATAGCACTGTTAGAGAAGATATCAACTTCATATCTCAACAAGAAAGCCATAGAAACCCAAATCCTTTTGACGTTTATCTAGTCTCACTAAGGCCTACATATGGACAAAATATCACGTCAAAAGCGCAGCTTCCCTGGGAGTGTTCCCTCGTAAGAGCTCTCGCAACACTTTTTCCTTTCGAGCAGCATAAGGAACAAAACGAGTTTTTCATGAATCCGAAAAGTTTTCGCTTTCCGAAAAATAACAATTGTTTAATCGCAGTTACCTTAGACAAACTTCCTACTTTAGTCAATTTTTCCTTTGTAACAGCTTGATATAGAACGATTTTCGCCATCGCAGTCGATTGCCATAACGACAGTATTGAGAAATTTTCTTACATTAGACTCAAGTTCTCTTCTTTCAAATTTGCCGCAAAAAAGTCGAACTTTTTAAGAAGATTGCAAAAAGTTGTCGCTTCGCGAAAAATTATTACATTTTAGGTCAATACAGAAAGATTAAGATTAGATCCGAGATGATAAAAATTTTGAGTTCCTCGACCTTGACTGCCTAGGAGCCCCCCCCCCCCCAATCCTGAGGTCCTCGCGCGGGGCCTGCTTGTAATTGCTGTACTTGTACTCGTCCAATGACTGGTACTCTATTTATATAGTTATTTTACCGATGGCTCTTCTGGAAACACTGTGGGGGGTAAAGGATTAAAAGAGGTATTAAAATATAAAAAGGTTCAATATTCATGCAAAACTCGTTATTAAACACTAACTTCCGATATAAACAGAGAAACACTCTAATCAACACATTGCTAGAGACAAATTATATATTCTAAGCGTCTGTTTTCCCTAAAGTCTCGATGTTATTTTACAAGTTTTTTCGGCTAATGGCATACGAAAACTGATTATAGTTCTCTTAGTGACTGAGAATTAGACATAATTGTTTTCCAGTCAATATTAGCTAATAATTTCAAAATCAATAATGATAATAGTTCAGCAAAACGAACATGACTTATGATAATGTAATGCTGTAATTTCTTGTGATCTATTTGTTGTTTGACAGTTATTCTAAGATACGGTTAGAATGCGATCAGCAGAATTAACAT